GTATGTGTTTTATCTTTTCTTTTGATGGAACATTTGGTCTTTCCACTCTTTAGTGTTAATTGTTCGGGTCAAATTTTGAGTCTTCCGTATGGAGTCGTTGAAGGAGTGTCTTATGGGATTAGTCGAAGATCTTTAGGTATATAGGAATTCCGTTCTCTTGGGAGATGACAGACGCGTCCACCTAAGTTGTTGTCTCTCATGAGATAGCCACGATAATTTTCTGAAGATGCGTTGGACCATGCATAAGTAATATCTTCAGAATAATGAGAAGGGTTTCCCTCTCGAATACTCTCTAACGCCCTAAATTAGACAACTACTAGAGAGTAAATTAATTTGAGAGGTGAGTTTGGATTGTTTTGAGACTATGTCCGAAAAATGGAGAGGATTAATCAATACCTGACTATTAACATGATTGATAGAGTAGATCACATGTGAAGCCTCGAAATGAATGCCAAAATCGATCACAAATCTAGATGAGAAAGAATTCATCGGTGAAAAAGTCCAAAAATGCCCAAGTGACTTCGAGCACACACTGCATATCGTTTTAGGTTTTCTCTTGGATCAATTCATTTTTTGCTGTTCCGAGAGAAAAACATGGTGTTCCTGTTTTATATCTGAATTTTTCCAGTGCTTGCAATTGCTTTTTCTGGAGAGCAACATATTCCATGGGATATGAGAGTTCTATGATATGCAAATTTCTGCAGATGGTGCCTTTGGTTGGGATTTGAAGATTTTATGGTACTTACGATAGATTTTCAAGTTTCTTCTTCTTATGAACAAAGACAGGGCTGCTTTTACTTATTGTTATACGTAACGGTTACGATTCCTCCTTCTTCTTTGGCATGGTGTTGCATGTTGCAGTACGTGAAGAGCCAAGTAAAAGAGACAGAGGGTCTCGTAGATTACGACAACAATGATATTGGGTTCTCATATCTTTTCTTCGTGAAGCTCCTCTTCGTTTTTATCAATAATATGTGTTACTGCCGATAAAACAAGACAAATTGGGTTTTCGCATGAGACAGGGAAACTTAGGTTTCGGAAACGTAGGTTGTAAGGCAGGGTTTAGCAAAAGAAGGGTAAAGTGTATTTTGAGAGAGTAAGCGAAGAGAGATGATATTCCTATGAAAGAAGCCATGAGTGAGTAATAAGATTTAGTTAAATTCCGAGAATAATTAATTAGAGTTTCGGTAGGCTTACTAGCGAGTTTAAAGGATGTTCTTGATATAATCTTCTGAATTGTTGTTGTTTTCTGTTTTGCAGGTGACATGGGACGTAGTAGTTGTGAATCCCAAAAACAGTGAGATAGCTTGCAAGAGTAGATCATCTATGTTCTCATGATCATCTAAATCACATGTTATATGAAAAAGGATATTTGTTTTTTTAGTTTCAAATCTATTATATCCTCTTAGTCGTCTTTGTAATGAGTGTTGAAATAAACTGTTTAGGATGTCCTATAACTATACTTGGTGAGTCGTTATAAACAGAAGTCCTCCTATGAACCCATTCTTAATGATTAATTTGGGATGACAGAATGTAAGATTTTTGGATGCTAGATTAATAATTATTTGTCGTTTTGTGGTTTTATTTTTGTTTTGGATGACGAGAAAGTGATTGACGATGTCACTGTGAAAGAGAGAGAATCATAGGCAAAAGCATAGGAGGGGAGAAGTGATGCGCAGCAACAACATAATGAGAGAGAGGTTCAAACGCTAGGATGCTAAAGGAAACAGAGGAGATCTTTATTTTTTTTAGGGAAAATGGTTTGAGCCGGTGGATAATGTGAATACTCTAGGCTTTTTATATTTTCAATTTCCTATTTGTTTGTAAGTTTTTAATGGCACTATTGTTGTTTGTTCATTACAAAGTAGTAAAAGATGTAATGGTACTGGAATCAAAACATCTTTGTCTTAGCATTTTTTATTTGTGATTAGATATAAAATATATCGATTAAATTACTTGTGACACAAAGAAAAGAAATTTATCTAAAATAATAGATCTAAGAAAAGGCAAATACATACAAAAATTGGGTATCAAGTTATCCCTTAGTAATTACATGCTACTATTTTCTAATCTGTGAGTCATAAAGTGTCTGTGGTCCGGGTGAAAATTTAGTTTGGTTACAAGAAATGCATCTCTTATTTAATTTGAGGGTAGCCAATACCCTAAGACCAAAGATTCATGTTTGGGATATGTGTTAAATGCTCAAATCAAATATAACCAGATTTTCAAGTTGTTCGATATTAGAAAGAAGGCTATACTTTTTGAATTTCAGAATAAATCTAATCATATTTTCTTTGGGAAAAGCTGGAAATTTTTTCACTTTGTAATGAATTTTTTTGCGTATTACAATATGATCTTAAGTTTCACATGAATAATTAGGTCCCGTCCATAACCATTAATAAAAGAAAGCAAATTTTAACATCGAAATCTTCACATACATTTGATCAAAGTTTTCTCTACACATTTTTATATCTCATCAATTAAAATATTATTTACCAAAATATCGTATTTCTAAAATTTCAAGAACGCAATTAATATCATATTTCTAAAAATTATGTAGATAGAAAGATGGTGATTGTCAATTAGCCGATAACTTTCACTAAAAACCAAATCAAATTAAAACTTTAGTTTCTTTTTCAACGTTACATAAAACAAATTTTTCTATAGATGAACTGAATCGAACCGTAGTTTTATTTAGTGAGGGTTAGGCACCCCTAGGATTAAGGCTTCCTTACATCCTCTTAATTTGCTAAAAACGTTAATAATTTTAAATTTTTTGCGTACATATATAAGAGGTTAGCATCACATATTAATGTTTGGAAAAATTTAATTTGCTGAAAATATTAATGATATATCTATCAATCATAGGGTTAAAGTTTTCCTAGAGTTTTGCTCCTCTTAATTTGCTAAAAAACTAACTTTTGCTCCTCTTAAATTGTTCCCTCTTAGAGTTTTACGAACAATTTGATTGTTTAGCCTCACATATAAATGTTTAGAACATTTTAATTTGCTAAAAATGTATATAGTATCTAAAATTAAGAAAAAGAAAACCATTATTATAAAAAGATTATTCGATCAAACATTTTCTTATATTGTTATACTAATCACACCATGATTGATGTGGTAATTTTCACTAAAACCAAAATCGAACTTAAACTTTTTTTTTGCAGTGTTACATACGAACTAAATTTTTCTAGGGACAATTGC